TCTCTCTCTCTCTCTCTCTCTCTCTCTCTCTCTCTCTCTCTCTCTCTCTCTCTCTCTCTCTCTCTCTCTCTCTCTCTCTTCGAAAAGCGAAAACGGGAAGGAATCTAGCACAGGAGGGCCAGCGGTCGGATCGTTGTGCAGTAGAGGGCGGAACGCGGGCGCTGGCGCGGAAGAATGGCGGGCGTTGAGGTAGGGCGAAGGGGCGAAGACGAAAAAAAGTGAAAGAGGGGGTGAACCCGGCGCGGATCTGGACCGGGTGCATCAGAGAGAGAGAGAGTGAGGATGGCAGCGGGTGAGCCGGGAGCTGGCGGAGAGGGAGGAGGCTGATGGACAGGCCACGGTGGGGCGGAGCGACAATGATGAGACAGAGCGGGGCCGACTGTGGGAGGGACATAGCAGCGAAAGGGGGAAAACGGGGCAGAATGAACCCGGGCGCGAATTCGCGCCGGGTGCATTCGGGACATGGGGGAATGAAAATGGCGGGGCGAGGAGTCGGGCGCAGCTGAGGACGCGTCGTGCTCTCGATCTTGGACGGAACCGAGAGGGAGAAGGGGCATTCCCGGGGGTTTAACCTCAGACGAATCAGACCGTAGTATTAGTTTTAGCTATAGGTTAGTAAAACGAGGGGTTAGCAGAGAATATGGTGCGCTGGAGATGGCGGAGGCAATGGAAAAAAGAGAAGAGAAACGTGTAGTTTACTCGCTCCTAAACGAAGTTGAGGGGAGAAAGATAGGAGTCGGGGGTTTGGAGACTGGGCGAACCAGGTGGTAAAGTTAGAATGGTAGGAGAGTTAGTGGATGGAGATGTTAGTGAGAAAACCGGTGCGCCGGGAAGAAGGAAGAAAAAGCGAATGAATCCGGGCGCGAATGTGCACCGGATGCATGCGCAGCAACAGGAGCGGAGCTATGGTAGGAATAGGGAGAACGAGTTCCCGCTCGACTCGTAAGGGAAATCGGGCAGAAGAAGGTGGGATTCGCGGGTTTTCAGATAGGGCGAAGTGGAGTGTGAGGTTAGTTTTGACAGAAAGTTAGTAAGTTAGTTAGTGTGAGAGAAAGTCGTGCGCAAATATGGCGAATGAAAGAGAGAGGAGGAGGAAAAACGCTATATCTTGCCCGATTCTTAGCAAAATCAGGCAAGGAAAGAGTCGGAACTAAGGTATTCGGGGAGGGGGAATGTAATGGCGGAGCCGGATTTGGCGGTGGGGTAATGGTCTTGGTGCTGCGGTGTGTAGGGGCTGCGCATGAATAGGCAGGCTGGAAACAAAAAAAAAAAGGGGGCATAGTAATAAGGAATGTATCCGCCCGCATTTTAGCGGAAGGTTCACTCCGATTTCTGTTTAGTTTGCAGATAGGAATCACGCAGGGCTAGCTGCGACATTGGAGACTTACGTGTTGGCCGGCTCGCTGCTCATATCGACGTCGGAGTAGGGGTGGCTGACATCTCGATGTGCAAAATTCGACTGCGTTCGCGGCCAGATGCGGACTACGGGACGGGCCGCTTCGTCGGGTTGAATGCGGATGGAGTACGGTGGCACCCTCATATAAGTAGACCGGGACAGTGACCGACTGCGGTCCTGAGCTGGAGTCTGCATCAGAGGAGGAGAGCGGGGGGCAAAGTGTCGTTTTAGTGGGAGTGCCCGTTGCTCGTGGGTTGGAAATGGGGGAGTTTGAAGGTGCCATCACGGATAGTTGAAGGTGGGCCGAGGCAAGGCCGGCCTGCACTTGGAACAGCCGACAGGAGGCTGTGAGCGACGGGGTTGAGGGTCTGCCTGCTCGGTGGCAAGCTGCACGTTCGGAGTAGTGGGAGGCTGGTTGCGAGATTTGGGAACTCGCTTGATGGCATATGCGCGGCCCATCGTACTGACCCAAGGTGGCGATTTTGCGGCGATCCTAGTTGCGTTGAAGCCAGGCCATGGTATATTGCTGCGTACAGCCCTAGTGATTGGGGCCGCTACGGCTGCGGCTGTTAGTTGTTGGGCTTGGCTGCGTAGCTCCGCGGTGGCTGTCATCTGCAGTTACTTGTTGTAGACTGCTGTGCATCGCCGTGTGTTCTGTTGATCGTTCTAGTCGTATGTGCGGGTGTAGTGGCTGTTGAACTTAGTACGGACTGTTGCGTTGTTCATTACGAGGAAACGAGGGGTGCTACAGTGTGGCGGAGCGGTGACAGGGGGGGGGGGTACCGCGGGTTTAGTAGTTTGACTTCCGACTGACCAAGTTGCTGCGTCTTCCTTTTGGCCATCATTGCGGGGCCCTCAGGCGCATCAAGGATTCAAGGTCCTCTCGTGCGAGTCTGAGAGCACCCTTCTTGTATCTGAGAAACTAAATGCTTCTACCTCTTCCCTTCTTACTCTAAGTCTAGTCTATTGGTTTTGAGAGGAAGGCGGTAGGCAGAATTGCAACCCGTAATCCGCGCCAAGGCCTCT